GCCTCCCAGAGTGCTAGGATTACAGGCGTGAGCCACTGTGCCCAGCCAAACTTTTGAATTTCTTGAGATGAATTTCTCAGTATAGTGTTTGACATTTATTCACCTGACAGACTATCCCTGGGCCAGGTGCTGAGAGCCTGGGCCAAGGTGAGCAGCTTTTGCCTCAAACTCTGCCAAGAAGCCAAAGCAGGAGAAAGGTAAATAGTGAGCTGTTCTTGCCAACAGGCTTCTCACGGACTTCTTTCCTTTTTGTTGAGGCTACCTCATTGTGGCTGCCAGGGTCATCACTCACTCATCAGATGTGTATAGCATTCCACTGTGGGATAGAATGAACTTGCCCTGGAGGTATATCAGTGAACAGGACAGAGCAGGGTACTTATTGTCATGGAGCTTATGGAGTCTGGGACTACAGAGGGCAAGGAAGGGGCAAAATGTACTATTTAATTCAGAGGTGATAAGTTCAGGGAAGGAGAAAGATTTCTTGGGTTCTAAAGCTGTGTTCCCAAAAAGAAACCCCAGCACTGCCTTGTGTTGGTCTTCATAGTTCCCCTTTCCTTTGCTCCCACCTGACCTCAGAAATGTTTATTTTGCTATATAAAAGCAATATTAAAGAGTAATTAAAAAAAAAAAAGTCAGTCACTTCTTTTCCATAACATCCCTAGAGATAGTCTATCACTTTTTTACTGATTTCTATGCAGAATGCTATTGATACACACATCAACAGCCTAACTTTAGCCTATTAGCCTATCTTTAGTATGTATTTGATTAAATGGCTTTGTCAAATGCCGTTTTTATTCTCATGGTAGCTATAGCTGCTGTTCACTCTGAATCTCCAAAAATAAGTTGGTAAACTTGCTTAGTGCCTTTAAAAAGAAAACCTGAATGATGATAGCAAAAATGGCAGAGTACAGAAAATTCTCCCTATAAAAAGCAGTGAAATTACTGGCAAAAATTGTCAAAATTCAACTTTTTCAGAACTCTGGAAATTAACCAAATGCTTACAGCAATCCAGGGAGGGATTATTAAAGAAAGCTGAATTTCAGCGAGCTGTGGTGTTCACTTTTCCTGTCCCCTTAACCAGCTCCATGGTAGCCCTGAAAGCCAACTGCCTGCAATCACAGTGGAAACACAAGCAGAATATATTTAGCATAATTCTCAAGGGCCCCAGGATTTTCAGAATGATGAATGAGCACTGGCTTCTACTGAAAGTCACCAGCTGCATTAACCTGTAACAAGAGAATCAGCCTGTCCTTTGAAGCCTTAAAGCCAGGCATTGACTTCTCTTTAGCTGTGAAAGTCCTGGATGGCATCTTCTTCCAATAGAAGAATTTTTTAGCTACATTCAAAATCTACTTAGTGTAGCCACCTTCATCAATTATTTTAGCTAGATTTTCTGGCTGACTTACTGCAGCTTCTACATAAGCATTTGTTACTTCACTTTGTATTTTTATGTTATGGAGGTGGCATCTTTCCTTAAACCTCATGAACCAACCTCTGCTAGCTTCCAACTTTTATTCTGCAGCTTTCTCACCTCTCAGCCTTCATAGAATTGAAGAGAGTTGGGCCCTTGCTCTGGATTAGGCTTTGGCTTAAGGATATGTTGTGGCTGGTTTATCGTCTATCTGGACCACTAAAACTGTCTCCGTATCAGCAATAAGGCTGTTTCACTTTATCATTAATGTGTTCACTGGAACAGCACTTCTAATTTCCTTTGAGAACTTTTCCCTTGCATGTACAACTTGGCTGTTTGGTGTAAGATGCCTAGCTTTTGGCCTGTCTCAGCTTTTGACATGCCTTTCTCACTACCCTTAATCATTTCTAGCTTTTGATTTAAAGTGACAGACATGTGACTTTTCCTTTCACTTGAACACTTAGAGGCCATTTGTAGAGTTTTGGTTTTTTTTTTTTTTTTGACAAGGTCTCGCTCTGTTGCCCGGGCTAGAGTGCCGTGGCGTCAGCCTAGCTCACAGCAACCTCAAACTCCTGGGCTCAAGCGATGCTCCTGCCTCAGCCTCCCAAGTAGCTGGGATTACAGGCATGTGCCACCATGCCCGGCTAATTTTTTCTATATATTTTTAGTTGTCCAATTAATTTCTTTCTAATTTTAGTAGAGATGGGGTCTCGCTCTTGCTCAGGCTGGTTTCGAACTCCTGAGCTCAAACAATCCACCCGCCTCGGCCTCCCAGAGAGCTAGGATTACAGGCGTGAGCCACCGCGCCCGGCCCATGACTACCAATCTTACAGAATAAAACAATATCAGAAGAGAATACTGTGTATAATTTTATGCCAAGAAATTGGATAACCTACGTGAAATTGACAAATTTCTAGAAAGACATAAGCTACCAATACTCTCAAGAAGAAAATGAACATCTGAATAGACCAATAACAAGTAAAGAGATTGAATTAGTAATAATTAAAAAACAAAAACACTTCCCACAAAGAAGAACCCAGGATCAAATGGCTTCTCTTATGAATTCTGTAAAACATTTATAGTTAGTAACACCAGTACTTCATAAACTCTCCCCAAAAATGAAAGAAGAGGGAACATTTCCCAACTGAATCTGGGTCCAATA